TCCTACCTTTCACATCAGAGCCCCCCTTTCACATCAGAGCCCCCCTTTCACATCAGAGCCCTCTCTTTCACATCAGAGTCCTCCCTTTCACATCATAGTCCTCCCTTTCACTTCATAGTCCTCCCTTTCACATCAGAGCCCCACCTTACACATCAGAGCCCCACCTTTCACATCAGAGTCCCCCTTTCACATCAGAGTCCCTCCTTCACATCAGAGCCCCCCTTTCACATCAGAGCACTTGGAGATGTGACATTATGCATGAATGAAGTGCTTAGACACTACCTATTGGTGTGATGGAGAATCTTTGCTACTGTTTAATACTTGCAGAAACACCCACGATCACTACAGCACCCAACTCTACATAAGGGGTATCTGGTAAGGTGTGCGGCAGTATGCCTATGGACATTTGCCTTTCACATCAGAGCCCCGCTTTTACATCAGAGCCCCCTTTTCACATCAGAGCCCCCTTTTCACATCAGAGCCCCTTCTTTCACATCAGAGCCCCCCTTCCACATCAGATTACTCCCTTTCACATCAGATTACTCCCTTTCACATTAGAGCTTCCTTTCACATCAGAGTCCTCCCTTTCACATCAGAGTCCTCACTTTCACATTAGAGCCTCATTTCACATCAGATTACTCCCTTTCACGTCACATTACTCATTTCATATCAGATTACTCCCTTTCACATTAGAGCTTCCTTTCACTTCAGAGTCCTCCCTTTCACATCAGAGTCCTCCCTTTCACATTAGAGCCTCCTTTCACATCAGATCACTCCCTTTCACATCAGAGTCCTCCCTTTCACATCAGATTACTCCCTTTCACATCAGAGTCCTCCCTTTCGCATCAGATTACTCCCTTTCAAATCAGAGTCCTCCCTTTCACACCAGAGTCCTCCCTTTCACATCAGATTACTCCCTTTCACATCAGATTACTCCCTTTCCCATCAGAGTCCTCCCTTTCCCATCAGAGCCCCTCTTTCACATCAGAGTCCCCCCCCTTTACATAAGAGCCCCTCTTTTCCCATCAGAGTCCCCCTGTATTTAAAATAATATATAATAATATGTATTTAGAAATATAATTTGTAATTGATGAGTGGGAAGGAACCAGTGGCGATAAAATATAAGTAGATTAAACTTCACCTTTAAGAGTAATTCCAGGCCATGCATTCAATCTTATTTCTCATATAATAAGAGCTAGGAGGCCACCAAGCATGCATGCCTCCTGCTATATTTATTCCAGTTCATGCATCACTGAGCTGTCGTTCTATAACAAAAATATTTCCCCTTTAAAGCTGCCCATACACCTGACGATCCCGTGATCGTACAATAATCGTAAGGGGTCTGGGCAGCGTGCAACCGCATATATTGTACGGTTGCACAACTTTCTTATTAGGAGCACGCTAGAAAACCCGCCGAAAATCGTACAATTTTCGGCGGGTTGGTAGCACGATCGCAAGACGAAAGCCGCACTGGCCAAGGTGCGCAAGCGCACACTGCCAGCTCACCATTGCAATCATCTGCAAGCCCTCCCATCAGCGGGGAGGGCTTGCGATGATCGCAAGTACGATCTGCCTGTCCAAGATGGGCAGGTTGTACGAAATTTGAATAACCTTACAAACATCGCACAACGAAAGTCTGTAAGGTGTAATGTTTGTAAAGTGTATGGCCAGCTTTAGTATGAAATTAGGGATAGGGGTAGGCCAATTATTAAGGAGAGGTGATACTTAGGGGATATAATTTATTACAGTGACATTTACCATTTCTTATGAGCTACAAGATCCATTCTGATAAAACCAGTGTTCTGCGCTATCGGAAAGGGGAAATGGAAACGAAAAAGAAGGAAAACCGGACTGGCTGTGAGCTGCTAGAACTCAGGCTATTCGGCCTCAGAGGTTAATTAATCAATGGTACAGCGCTCTGAGCCTCACGGTATGATCATCAAAATCAATATAATAAAAAAATAATAAAGAAATAAAGTGAATGTAAAGTGTCAAATCGTGTGTTTCTTCAACAACTATCAGTGTGAGATATATATATATATATATAGATACTGTGTGGCAAACAGTGTGGATCTTTCCTCGGAGGGGAAATTAAACCACAGTCAAAATTTAAAACTACTAGTACCGAGGAAGCACATCGGTACAAAATTGTAAAAAATACCTATATATAAAACCTGTACATAAATCGTGTAATTATATAAACATAACATTTTGTATCATGGAAAAGGTGTGTATATAATTACAATTGTATAAATAAATATAATTATAAAGATAAGACTATGAATGGAAAAATCATATATCAGTGTCCAGTGAAGTCTCATTCATGGAAACTTATTGTGGAATAAGGGGCATGTGTCCACATCTGAAGTGCCGAGGGGCGATACTTGTCCGAAGGGGAAACCCCGGTAGGGGACGCACTCACCAGATGTCAGAAGAACGAAAACAACCTAGTTATCCGGGGAAGGCTGCCGTGTTCCGTCAAATGTTCCGTTCCACTACCATGAGGGGATGATCGGGTGACGGAAGGATGAAGCCTATCTGGTGCTCCAGGAAGGAGATTGCGTTCTTGTATCACGTTCCTTTCTTATTTCAGCGTGTCAGGGAGGGAACCGATAATGCGCTGTGTAGGGTTTTCGTGTAAAGTTTACAGGCGTTACAAATAGAGATAAAAAATATGAATAAAAAGTTTATTTCGCTGACAGGTCAGCTGCAGATAGTAGAGTACTCTTCAGACTGTAATGTGCCGTGGTATACCGTGAGGCTCAGAGCGCTGTACCATTGATTAATTTACAAGATCCATTCACCAATGTACTGTGAATTGAAAAACGCTTTGAAAAAATATCACCGATGACACAATCTCATTTTGCAGATAAACCACGTGCACTAAAATCGCCTCTGTGTACTGAGATCAGTAAATAGTATTGTCTGTCTTCTTTTTTATATTATGACTCTATTATATTTTGTATTTTCTGACTATATCAGGATATATAACTTGCACGCTGACATTGATTATAGCCAATAGTTTCTTGCAGGTATTTATCAAGCAATGAGAAGCCAAAAATGCCTCCATGTGATTTTATACCGGAGGAGTACAAGGTAAGTCTGTTGTTATTGCAGAGATGATCTAGGTATGATGATGATTAGATCAGATGGCTGTCTATGATTGTGGTTAGTATGTGTGTCCTGTAAAGTTGGGGGTCCTGTGTGTGATTGTCATCATGGATCCTATTTGTATGGACGTGAAGGTTCTCATTCATCCAGGTCATGGTAAATCTGTCAGAAATAAATCAAAGCAACTGGACTTGCTGCTTTTTCTAGAAGATGTTTTGCTGGTCATCTGACCAGCTTTCTCAGTACTGAATTGAGAAAGCTAGTTGGATGACCAGCAAAATGTCTTCAAGAAAAATACAGCAAGTCCAGTTGCTTAGATTTATTTGTATTGAGCGCATGCATTTTCTTTTTGCATTTGTGAAGGTTTCCTCGTGTCTACTCAAAGTCCAAAAACATGCTGGCACTTTAATAGGCATCAAACTATATTTATATTTCCAAGAATCAGAAAAGTAGATAGACATTCAAGAGTGTTTTCTGACTTATGGAGTTGGTCATGTTGAGAAGGGTCTGCAGGCAGCCAGGGCCGGATTTCCCACAAGGCCATCGAGGCCTGGCCTTGGGGCGGCAGGGGGTACAGTGGCGGCACAGCCTCCGGGCGGGTGTTTTTTTTCTACATTTAGCACTTGTAATAAGACTTGTAATATGACTGCAGGTCCGTCCGTCCTCCGCCATGGTCCACCCCCACGTTTGGCTGCCTCTGTACTCGCTGGCTGCTTCCCTCCCTGTCGTGTTTTTTTGGGTCCCCGGCTCTTCTTGGGGACCTAGGAACACGGCAAGGTAGTTCAAGGTGGAGAGCAGGGAGCAGAGCGGAGAATGTCTGTTCTCTGCTCTGCTCCGTGTAAACACTGAGACGGGAGAGCTGTACTCGAAGCCTACCCATCTCAGCTGTGTGCTAGAACTCCTGTATTGGAGGTGACAGGTTCAATAAAGAGAACCTGTCACCTCCAAATGCTATCTTATTGGGGCTTGTTAGCTCCTGTGTGATAGCAATAAAGTTAAGTGAAAAAAACATAAAAAAAATTAATTTAAAAAAAAAATAAT